ACTGGGATGCGCTTGCGCATAGGATGGTGGCAACAGCTGCCGGCTCCTCAGCGGTGGCAGGATATGTGCAAGGGGTGCACGTTCGCCTCCTGGTGGATACGGGGGCGTCGGCCACCATTATTTCTGAGGCCATTTTTGGGCTGCTACCCCGCAGCATGGGTCCGTTAAGGCCGGTTCGCGGGGCTTGTGTCGCCACGAACGGCGGCAGTTTGGGCATCTTGGGCCACGTTGTAACGTCGGTTCGGGTTGACGAGATTGAGTTGGCCGGGCCTATTTTGGTCTCCAGGACCTTGGCAGTGCCATGCCTCTTGGGGACCGACTTTTTGTCTAGGATGCCCATCCGAATTCTCGTTGACCAGGGCTGTGTGTAAATGCCGTCAGGGAGGCGGCTGCAATTCCTACAATCGCCTACCGTCCTGTCTCCCTTGGTTGCCGGTGTACGGGCCTTGAATAAAGCGCCGGTGACCGTACCACCGGCATCACAAATCCTGATACCCCTTAGGTTGCGCAAACCGCTCGAAATGGGCTCCACGGAGACGGGTATCCTCCTGTCCCCGTCAAGCTACTTTTCAAGGACGAAGGGGTTGGTGGGCGCCTTGACAGCCGTGTCGGGGGGCCAGGACCTTTTTTTGCAGGTCCTCAATTCGGGGCCCTTGCCGGTCATAGTCCCGGCCGGCGCCGTCCTGGCACACGCGACCCCGGCTCCTCCACCCGAGAGCGCTGCCCCGGATGGAGGGGTCGTGGTGGGCGTGATGCGCACGGGGGACCCCGACGCATCATGGATCGCCACGTTGTGCGACGAGAATGCCTCGTCCTCCGGGGAACGTCAGCAACTCCGCGACCTCATCGAGCGGTTCACCGATGTGTTCAGCCAAAGTAAGTTTGATCTGGGACGCACTACTCTTTTGGACCACCACATAGACACGGGCGACGCGGCCCCTATTCGACTTAATTCCCACCGCTTTCGCCCAGCGGAAAAAGATCATGTCCGCTCGGCTGTCGAGGAAATGTTGGCGGCGGACATCATCTCCCCATCTACTAGCCCTTGGGGTGCCCCCATTGTGCTAGTCAAGAAACGGGACGGGAGTCTCCGGTTCTGCGTCGATTTTCGTAGATTGAACAAGATCTCGGTGGCTGATGCATATCCATTGCCTCGCATGGATGATTCCCTGGACGCCCTCTCGGGCGCGCGGTTCTTTTCGACTTTAGATTTGCTCTCCGGCTTGTGGCAATTGTCACTGGATGAGGCCTCTAGACCCAAAACAGCGTTCCGCACGCCCCAGGGGTTGTTCGAGTTCAATCGGCTACCTATGGGTCTCCATTCCGCCCCGGCCACCTTCCAGCGTCTCATGGAGATGGTCTTGGCGGGGCTGCAGTGGGAGTCTTGTCTAATCTACTTGGATGACGTTATTGTTTTTGGCCGTACGTTTGGCGAGCACTTGCAACGCCTTGAGGCGGTGTTCGTCAAAGTGCGTGCTGCTGGCTTGAAATTCAAACCCCAGAAATGCCACTTGCTACAACCATCGGTGAGGTATTTGGGACACATTGTTAGCACGTCAGGTGTCGCCACGGACCCGGATAAAACGGCTTGTGTCCGGACGTGGCCGACTCCCACATCTGTCGCGGAAGTGCGTAGCTTCGTTGGCTTCGCATCGTACTATCGCCGGTTTGTTCGCGATTTTGCGACAATTGCGAAGCCACTGCACGCCCTTTCCGCCAAAGGCCAAAGGTTTCACTGGGGCGCGGAGGAGGAGGCGGCTTTTGCGGCGCTTCGCACGGCCTTGGCGGATGCGCCGCCCTTGGGGTACCCGGATTTTTCTAAACCCTTCCTGCTCGATACCGATGCCAGCGACACGGGAATTGGGGCTGTCCTGGCCCAGGTGGTCGACGGGGTTGAGAGGGTGGTAGCCTATGGCAGTCGCGTTCTGTCCTCGACGGAAGAGCGATATTGTGTGACCCGGAGGGAGCTTTTGGCCATAGTTTATTTTGTTCAGTTGTATAGACCATATTTGTACGGTAGGCTGTTTACGGTCCGAACCTACCACGTGGCCCTGCAATATTCGCTGAAGATTAGTCAGCCCTCGGATCAGCTGTCTCGCTGGCTCGAAGTGCTCCAGGATTACCCCTTTGATGTAATCCACAGGAAGGGGACACAGCATGGAAATGCGGATGGTTTATCCCGATTGCCGGCAGGCGGCGGGTGTGCTTGCGCCCTGGGCTCTAGCCGTTGGAAGGCCCCAGGGGACGCCGCGGCCCAGTTGGTCGCGTCGGCCGAGGCGGCCACCCCTCCAGGTGCGGCGGCGCCCGTGGATTTCGGCCTTGGACTTCTCCGGGAGGTATGGTCCAGCTTGCAGATGGAGGATTCCTCTCTGCTGAAGCTACGGCGCCGTGTCGGACATAAGGCCCGGAGCTCAGCTTCGTCGGCTGCCCCGGCGATCGCTGTGCATGACGGACTCCTCATGCGTTGGGATGCCCAATTGGAACGCTATTGTGTGGTTGTGCCCACTAGCCTGCGTGGTAAATCAACCCGAGCCATTCACGAGAAGCTTATGCACCTTGGCTACCACAAGACCTTATTGACCCTTAAGCGGGACTATTACTGGCCGGGTGTTGAGGGTGACGTGGCACTGATTTTGAAGGGTTTCCATGACTGCGCGCGGAGGAAGGCCCCAGTTGTCCGGGACCGGGCCCCGCTGCAGTCCATCCAGGTTTCTCGCGTTAATGAGCTCGTGGCGCTCGACATTTTGGGGCCATTCCCTGCATCCCAACGGGGCCACAAATACCTCTTGGTGGGCGTTGAGTACCTCACACGTTGGCCCATGGCATGGCCTTTGGTCGATCAGTCAGCCTCTTCTATCACCGAGGCCTTCGTTCAGGGGTACGTGTTTGACAAGGGCGCGCCGGAACAATTGTTGACTGACCAGGGGCGGAATTTCTCGTCTAGGTTGCTCAAGGAGGTGTGTGACCTCCTTGGCACCAAGAAAATCCGCACCTCGCCCTACCACCCCCAGTCAGACGGGATGGTAGAGCGCTTGAACCGCACCCTTACGTCCATGCTGTGCCACCAGGTGAACACGTCCCAGTCAGACTGGGACCTGTTCGTCCCGGGGGTCTTGGCGGCGTATCGGTTGGCCCCTCATGCCTCCACGGGATTTTCGCCTTTTTATTTGATGTACGGTAGGGAACCGGAGCCCCCGGTGCACGTCCAGATGGACGTTGGCTCCTCCAAGAAGGGGTCGGCGGTGCCGACCCCTTTAAAGGTCGCGCTTGACCGGCTGCGCGAGGCGCGACAGGCCGCTGCCGAGAATTCCGCAAGCCGGCAGGCGGCTAATGAGCGGCTGCCCAAACACCAGGCAGCTGGCCTCCCGTGGGTAGCGGGCCAAAAAGCGTGGCTGCATTGTCCCCAGGTCCCCGTTGGCACATCGGCCAAATTGCATCGCCCTTGGCAGGGCCCCGTGGAGGTTGTGGAGGTCCGCCGGCCGCAATGTGTCCGGATTCGGTTCGGTCGCTGGCAGTGGATAGTGCACCCGTCCCGGCTCAAACGTTATGTTCCATCTACCCTGGGGGATCCACCCCCAATTCCGGAGCGGCCGGCTGATGATGTATCCTGCATGCCTGACCGGCCGGGTCTCGTTGACGGAGGTGACGTCCGACCTGTGTGTGTGCCCCCAGGCCCCTCCCGAGTGAGGCCGACTGAGATCCCCCGGTCACCGGAGGCCACGGCGGTGGGCCTGTTGCCCGCTGACGGGCCACCTGCACGGGTGGCGGACACCGCACGGGGGAGCGGGCCAGCAGCGCATACCCGCTCGAGGGGGATGCGGTTCCGGTGACGGCCCTGATGGCCGTTCAGCGGGCCCAGCCCCTGGCGCCCGTTCGGCGCTATCCAGCGGATGAAAGCCTTCGGGCTCTATTTGTTTTGTTTTTTTGTTGTTGTGGTTGTTGTTGCTGTTCTGCTTGAGGGGCCGTGCTGCCTTAAGGTTGAGTTTTCTAGCAGCCGGTTTTACCTTCAGGCACACGAACTCGTGATTATTCGGTCTTCGGTCCGGTGTGGGGCCCCGCTTGCGGGGTGATTGCAGCCGGGTCGGCTGTTTTTTTTCACTGGGGGGGGTGATGTAGAAGAGTAGAGGGGAGTGGTGGCGTCGTGTGCTCTGTCCGGTGCGGTGACATCACGGGACGTGGGGTCGCGCGCGCTGGGCAGCGCACGTGACGTCACCCCTCCTAGGGTATTTAAGGGAGACCCCGTGACGTAAGCGGGGTCACTGGAGGAACGGGGATAGTAGAAGGACTAAGAGGGAACCAGGAATAGTGATACGTGTTAATAAACCCTGGCGGAAGCCCCTAACTCACCTCCGTCTCCGAGTACGTCCGTCGGAACTACTCAACACATGTGCTGCACCAAAACTATGGAATGCCCTGCCACCAGTGGACTCTGCACTATTTATATTTCTTAACTCCGTGCATGGCTCACTGAGATCCTTGAATGAAATGCACCAAAATTACTTTGAAACCAGCAGTGGTCATGTCAATCGCTGCACGGTGGATGGGATTGATGACATTGCTGATCTCCAGATAAGAGGAAATCTGCCACCAGATTCCAAAAACTGTGCAAGCGCCTTCTAATACTTTAGATGCATGCAGACAGGGGCGTACTGTGGAGGGCGGGAGTACGCGGCAGCATTATGCCACACATAGGGGGCCCAGTCGGCCACAAGGGGGCCCCGAATCAACAGATAAACAAGTACAAACATACTATGGGAACCTCATTTGCCAGTAAAAATATGATAATTGGTTCTTTACCCTTCTATCTGGCAACAAAACTGACACCTTTTTACAAGGAGTCATGTTTGCATAGACCGCAATACCTGCAGTCATAATACAAACAAAAGAACATAACTCTGTGCACATTATCAGAGTTATGTTCTTTTGTTTGTATTATGACTGCAGGTATTGCGGTCTATGCAAACATGACTCCTTGTAAAAAGGTGTCAGTTTTGTTGCCAGATAGAAGGGTAAAGAACCAATTATCAAGTACAAACATGTTTAGATAAATTATTAAACTAAAATATGAGAACAATATATACACAGTATAGTTACAACCTAACATATTATTTATACGGGTTAAAAACATCCATAGCTATTTCAGTAAAAGTGAGTTGGGTGAAAGGTGGGGGCCCACAGTCATATCTTGCATAGCCCCCCAGTTGAAATAGGGAGATGCGCCCATGCGTGCAAAGCATTGCCCAACCCAAAGCGGAGCAACGAGACGCCGATCGTCGCCCGCTGGAGGCTCTTTTGCGACGTCGCCGAGCCTCCACACCGCATCTCGTGACAGAAACGCGCAAACTCCTCCCTGCTTCCGAGCGGAGCGCCGCGAGCATTTCCACAAAAACCTGAAGCGCCATGCCGTCCCCCGTGAGCCTTGTCACATCCAGAAAGCCACGCGCCCAATGTCGGAGTCGGGCTCGGGGCCGATACCCAGGATCACAGTGTCCATCGTGGCGTCGTACTTACTACTCCACAGACCCCGTCACTTCCACCAGCCTCGGCGACGATTCGCAAAGCCATCGTTTATCGTGCTGCTGCTACTGCTGTCACTGCTACTCAATCAGAATAATAAAAATGTATATCTTGGAAAAATTCGATGAGCTATCAAGCTCTTTTTCACAGATGTCCAGTAGGGGTGAAGAAGATGTCCAGTAGGGGTGGGTTGTCACTGCTGTCACTGCTGCTGCTACTGCTGTAGTTGTGAGAGCAGCAGCAGCTGCCGTCATAGTTGCTTCCACTGCTGCTGTTGCTATTACATACATTCTCCCAACCTGGGACCCACGAGCTTGAATCTGCCCACTTGCAGGAGCAGCAGCAGGAAAGCAGTCGCGGCTCGGACTGGCTTCTCGCTGCGGCAAAATCACTTCACCGTGTGAACAAAACCACATGCGCTTTATTGACGAGAGCCGGCGGACATGTAAGATGCGCGGAGGCAATCTCCGTTTTAATCCTCGCGACTACCGTCTCCATACGACGCTGACGGCAGCGGCGGTGATGGTGTGCCGCGTTTGACGTGCTTCAGCCGCCGGTGCGCCACCAGCTGCGGGCCGCGCGAGAATCCCCCGTCGTAGTCAGCGCACGCCGCCACGGGCGGCTCTCCGCTGTGGGTCCTCCGGTGCCTCTTGAGGTTGGGCACCTGGGAGAAGGCCTTGCCGCAGAGGTCGCACTCGTAGGGCCGCTCGCCCGTGTGCGTCCTGCGGTGGCGCGTCAGGTGCGATGCCTTGGAGAAGCACTTTCCGCAGGCGTCGCACAAGTGGGGCCAGCGGCCTGACGCGTGGACCACCGCGTGCTTTTTGAGGTCGGCAGGGCTGGCAAAGCTCCGGCCACACTCCTCGCACGGGAACGGCTTCTCTGCGCCCATCGCTGCGACATGGGGCGGGGGCACCGTCACACCCAGCGGCTTATTATGCACTTGTGAATAATAATAGTAGCAATACGTTGTTGTTATTCCGCTTGTTTACCCATGAAAACCCGGCGGCGGCACCATCACACCCAGCAGCTTATGCCCTTGTGAATAATAATAAGAAAAATACGTTGTTGTTATTCCCCTTGTTTACCCAGGAAAACCCTGGTTGCTGAACGAATACAGCATTATCAAGTCGCACTCCTTTACACAGAAAGTGCTTGCCACAAATGAACCACGATACCTCACTGATCTCGTCAAGGAGCATAAACTATCATCACGTAAACTCCAGTCACCTCGCAGCAGCAGTGGCTTTTGGTTAGCCCATTAAACAAAGACGGTCACCACATCGCGCGGTGCTTTCGGATGCATTTGTGCGGCCGTCTGGAACGCTCTTCCTTCCGATATTAGGAAGCCACCGGAGCTATGCACTTTTAAATCTTCATCGAAATTGAGAACTCATTTATTGTGTTTAGTTTGTTGTCCTTCCCCCCGCACCTCCGATTAGCACGGTCAGCTTCGTACGGTGAGAAAGAAGTTCAACATACATACATATATAGTTTGTTCATGGGAATCCTGCCAAGTTTTGTCAGGAGGGGGCAATGTTGTTCTCGCTGTGGGTGTTTTCCCCCATTGAGTCATTTGCAGGTAAATTTAAATAATCGGTTTGTTGCGGCCAATACAAGTTACACTGTACAGTGTTTTTGTTAGCTCTGGGATGAAGCCACAGAATCCCGAGGAAACCGTCCACAACAGGGTGAGAAGATACAAACTCCACACAGAGATAGAGGTTTTTGGGTTAGATCGCGTAAATATAAACGTGTCTTCTTGGTTCTTTCGGTAAAGTCATGTAGAAGGGAAGTAATAAAATAATAAAAATAAAACATAATGAAATAATTCTCACGACGTTTCGGCCACAACGCAAGCAGCCGTCATCAGGTGAAGAATGACCTGAGGACAGCTGCTTGCGTTGTGGCCGAAACGTCGTGAGAATTATTTTATTATGTTTTATTTTTATTATTTTATTACTTTCCTTCTACGTGACTTTACCGAAAGAACCAAGAAAATGAATCCCTGCAGTCAAGAAAGCTTTAAATCGAAATTTATAAACGTGTCATTAAATTCGTCACCACCCAACAACCAATAAGTAATGTTTGTCACGTAAACAAAATGTGCCAATTAGTTACCAGTTCAGCACAAAGGTGTGTTGGAGCGTAAACCAACAACATTTACAATTCGAGTACAACGTTTTTGCCAAAAATTACAACCAGCTTCATCAAGCGATAGCCAGAGTTGTGGAGAAATCCTCCTGCAAGTACGTTTAACTTATTTCGTATCGTACGTATCCAATCGTGCTAATTGGAGGTGCTTCATTTATCACGTGATCAGTGAAGATTTGCTGATGTATTCCTTGTGTATGTAAGCCATCGTGCACCCCTCAGGAATTACGGTGAAACGTAAAACACAAATACACTACGTGGTAGCGTAGCAGTTAGCACTACGCTGCACTACGAACCCCGCGACCTGAGCTCAATTCCTGCTCACGACCAACACCAGTGACGATTATCTGAACTGGTCCTGGGCCTCCCCTAGGTCGACTCAGCCTCCACTGAGCACCTGGTGCGATGTGTTAATATCGCCACTTGGGAGACAAAGGCAGCTGGGCGTGGTGCTGGCCACCCACCCCGTCGTGTGCCGTGCCGGCCTTCATAGGTGCTCGCCAAAAGCACTTGGATCTTTGTCTTTGCATGACAATACCAAGGCATAGTAAACCTGCGTTATACGTTATATTATCTCTATGTGAAAAGCAAGGAAATATCACTGGTATGCTGAATGTAACCTCCACAATAGCAGCATTTGCTATGAAGGACGACTGGCCTATGTTACCAACTGTATACATGTAATTCAAATTAATGGTTTCAAAATGTTACATTATTTTCAGTATGCCCGTTGCCCTCCACCTAACGAGTCCAGATTTTCCGAGGCTTTACTGGGACGTCTCCTGACCCACCAGCATCTCAATAACGTCCCTCACCACCACCGCTTAATGTCACGCTGCAAACCCTTTTGGGCTACATGTGCTCAACCTGCAAGAATGTAACTTAAATCCTGATTATGAAGATGACGATGATAAAAGCTTGGAAAGCCAAATGGAGTTGACAAGAAGTCACAACCAAACGCCTCCTTGTGAAAGACCCGATGCCGCAGAAAATCCCTAGGTTTTTAAATCCTTTATATTAAGTTCGCTTGCTTACGACCGTGCAAATCTTTCGGTCGTTTTTTAACCCACTTCCCGTGATCCAATCAAGCTGACATTTTCCACACAGACTCGTTGTGCGTGACAATTAATGTTCGTGAAAATTTTTTTCCAAAATTTTACACTTTTTAGGACAAAAATATTATATTTAATTACCAATTGCTTAATGGTGCAATGCAATCATCTGACCCATAGGTGGCAGCCATCTCAAGCCAGAGGACGAGAGGACTCTAGCCGCCACGCATATAAAGGATTTATAGTGAAAAACTTTGTTTTTACGGGTTATACTTGTTTTGATCTTCCGTGGAGCTTATAGAGCTACAACCCGAAACAGGATCCACTGCACAAACCACGGCAGCAGATGTGGACGCTTGATCGTGCACAATCGAAAAAAACTAAAACGCTCCAGCTGTGTGCGGAGCCTGTGGTCGCCCACAACAGACGGTGGAACAAATAACGACGACTCAATGCCCAATCCACAAATACGAAGGAGGCATCGTCATCACAGCAATGATTCGCCACTGCACACTACTCCCAACGCAATTATCCGACCTGACCACCTCAATTAAAAATTGTAGCCGTTGCACATCGACATCAGCCATATGAAGAAGACCGCATTGTGAAATGCCTGACATCTCTTTACCGAAGCAGATTAGAACGTCCTCGATGTTCTGTGCTTTACCTCTCAGAGACTCGTAGGAAGAAACGGCTTCAACTTGTTCCAGCTTAATTCTGTTCCACAGGTGGTTTGCGTTTGCGCAATCCATGGATGAGGTCAGCGCGTCGTCTTCACCTGCAGCTGAGCAAGCAGAAAGGAAGCGGCTTCATCACGTAACCTCAACCAGACAGTCCTCTGGTGACTTCAGAGTGCTCATTCAAAAAGTCAACTTACGATCGTCTTGGAACAAATTAAGCCCTTTAACATGTATTTTATATATTCGATTAACGATAATTCCAATTACCGATGGTTTTCGTGGAGCCAATTGATATCATTCACTGAGGGATCCACATTTCCAGTACACCCACAACATAACCAAACATTTAACACGTAGGCTTTCACGACCAATATCATCCATAATAGAGGTGTTTGGGGTTAGATCGTGTAAATATATAATGTGTCATTAAAACCCGCCACCACCCGACACAACCAACTAGTAAGGGATGTCACGTAAACAGAACGTGCCAATTTGTCACTAGTACAGCACACCGGTGTGTTGGAGAGCCAAGCCACCACATTTATAATCTGAGTACGACGTTTCGCCAGTAATTACAACTAGCTTCATCAGGTGACAGACAGATTTGTGGAGAAGTCTGTTTCGTTCCTTATATAGCGGCGTAGATGTGGTGGCCACACTTCTGCGCTCTTTCGCAAAGTAGGGGGAGTTAATGAGTCAACGTACATTATGCATGTGTATTATGCAAGCCCTTTGATTTTGTCCTTCCTGTATATTGTGTATTAAAATAGCCGTACCAACGGTAATCCCTATTGAAGTATGGTGCCTTTTATTTGCATGCATTTAAATTATGTATTATTTGATGATTCGCTTCTACGCAGCACTAAGGCAGTAGTTATCCGAACAGTTAAAATTATTTGTATTTCTTTCAATTTCGATAGATTCTCTAAGTAGTCTTTACCAGTAGTAGCTAGTTTTGCACAGAACTTCAACATTATCAAAATCAATCGAGTGTCCTTATTGGCACACGTGTTCTGCTACTGCTGACAGTTGTATTTGGGAGTATTCAATATTTCTCTGATGTTCTTGCGTCTTGTGCTGATCATTCGTCCTGTTTGCCCAACATAACATTTACCACACGTGCAGTTAATCCTGTACACACCTTCTGTTGATAGCTTCAGTAATAAATATTTAGTACCAGATATTAATTTCTGTATTTTATGTACCATGCTAAATCTGACATGGATGTTTTGTTTTTCCAAACATCTGGCTAGTTTATCAGTTACTCCCACAATGCACGGTATTTTTTATCATTTTAATTACTTTGGCAGTTTCAATGCTCATATTATTTGATTTGGTATTGGCATTCAATGCCCTGTTGATTTGTGCTATACGGTAACAGAGTGTGGAGCTTCTTCGTGTTCAGCCGCTCATGTAAACATTCATCTTCCAACTGCTTCGAAATCACGAGAACTGATTTTGACACACCACCACCCAGCAAGATTTTCTGACCGGGGTTGCGAATTGCGGGAAAATAAATAATCATTGGAAATTTTTGTTATTTTTACTGCACACCATCAACGGTGTACCACCAATACGTTAAAATAAGCTCCAACCATACACGACGCGCCGCAGTGATTTACACTGCCTCGATAGAAATCCACCAATGGGTGCCGCTTACCCGGGTTGGTCCAGTCAGGAGCTTCGAAAGCCTGCGCCGATGAGGGGGGTTCAAAGTTTCCAAACTCTGCGCAGTTAACTGAGAAAGAGAAACCAACAATGCCCTTACAGTTGAAGTCTGTTCGGAAACCCACAGCACATTTCCCCAACCTCATATTAGCACGGTTGGTCACATTGGGGTGCGAAAGAAGTTTAACGCACACATATACATACATACAGAGAAACCAGAAACAGGCGCCAAATATCAATTTCCAATACTGGAACAGGACTCCGGGTGGACATGATAAAAACAGCTCACTGTTACTTGAAAGTTCACGCTCGTCCGCTTCACAGCGGTTATCCTCCGTCGTGGTGCTCCTCAACCTCTCCGTCTGCGGGGTCGTCCGGCCGCCGTCCAACTCCCCCAGCTTCTGCGCGGAGAGCAACAGCTCCCGGCCGAGTCCGCCGAATAGCACCACCAGTACGTCCAGCAGGTCGCCCAGCGCCGTCTCTGACCGCGGCCCCTCGGCCTCCGGCAGGTGCAGCGAGCGCACGACCTGGCGCAGCACGGCGTAGAAGCCGAAGGGTAGGCGGTCGCGCGCCGCAGCCAGAAGCTCGGCGCGGACGTGGCCGTCGCCCACGCAGGCGCGCAGGACTCCGTAGTCGCGGATGCCGAGCTCAGAGTCTATGGCCCGGGCTACCTCGGCATTCACGCCCTGTGCCTTCAGCCACGCCGAGAAGTCCACGCACGAGTCCACGGCCAGCGTGGAGGCCATCGGCTCACTGTGAGATGAGATGGTGCACGCACTCTGTGTATGTGGCATGTTACCTAATGGGCCATCTGACCAACAAGATTCCAATACAGCCCGCCCAGGTAGGTGGCTCAGCGGTAGAGCCAACGGCTCCCAATAGAAAAAGTTGCCAGTTCAAGTCCTGGTTAATGGTTGACTCAGCCCATCTTCCGTCCCTCCTGGGTTCATAAAACGAGTACCACTTTGTGGGGAAGTGAACAGTGGTTGTCCTTTTGGATAGACTCACCCCGCTATAGGAACATGAACTTTCCACCGCTGGCTCAAAGCTGTAAACAGGAGATGAGCACCAATGCCTCAACGCACATTTGAGCAGCAGGAGTTCACCCTGACCATCCCACCAGCAAGATAGTGACAGGCGGACTGGAGAACTACACAATATCTGCAGCGCCGATTCCAGAATTTGTGTCTTTGTCGACTCAACCGATTCCTGGAACTCACTCTGCGATATCAGCGTTGTCTGTTAGCCTCCATCACCACCTGGAGGGCCGTCCATCTCATTGGGCTCCCATGTTCAAGATCACACAATCAAGCTGCGTATGTGTGAATGCCTTTTTGGCGGTAGTGTCGCGGTCAGTGCTCTACTCTACGAACCTGGCGACCTGAGTTCGATTCGTGCTCTTGGTCAACACCAGTGACGATTATCTGAACTGGTTATGGGTCAATTCAGCCTCAAATGAGTACCTGGTACAATGTGTAAATACCGCCACTTGGGTGATAAAGACGTCCGGGCCTGGTGCTGGCCACCCACCCCCTCGTGTGCTGCACCAGTATTCATAGACGCTCGCTAAACGCACTTGATCCAAAAGTCCGTTAAGCCTATATGGCGGATCTGTCTTTTAACAAAGCATTCACTGCGGGTATAATGACGTATTGCTGTTGTGTAATAGAACCCAGTGGAGGACTCTGCGTATTTGTCCAAAGGAATGCCTCTGCACGCCTGTGGAATACCCATTCCACGCCACCCCTGGCGGGTCTGACTCTGTACAAGAATGCAAGGCCATGCACACACACGCCTCTCTCCCTAGCCTGCGTACAGGCTTCAGAAAGCAGTCCGTGCAGTGGCAGTGATTACGGTGACAATACAATAAGCACGTGACAACGATTGGGGCAACGCTAACACGTGGCACTGCTTGAAAAAATTCAAGCAAGTGACAGTTATTGTGACAATTCAAGCACGTGACAATTCTTCTCACAATTCAAGAATGTTACAGTTATTGTGACAATCCTAACACGTGATAGTTCTTGTGACAATCCTTGTGACAAGAACGTAACGGTTGTGATAATACAATTACGGGACAGTTCGTGTGACAATCCTAACACGTGAGACAGTTGTGACAATACAAACTCCTGACAGTTGAGACAAACCAATCACGTGAAGTTTATGTGACAAGCACGTGAGAGTGATTATGACGACACCAGCACGTGACAGCTGCTGTGACAATACAAGAGTCGAGTGCACGCGACCGACTCACTGAGACACTGGCGCGGAAGAGACAAAGACGGACGCTGCTCTGCGACCTGGAGGCTGCGGGAAGGAGTGGAGGCGCCTCTCTGCGACACGCGAGAGAGAGCAGGGGGAGTGCAGGGAGACAGACGAGGGAGTGTGCAGAGAAGATGGACCGTGAAGCTGTGCAGATGCCGGAGAGTAGCAGTAGAGAGAGTGGTGCGTTGAGTAGAGAGGAGTGTGTAGAGTAGAGACGGGTGTAAGAGTGGTGAGGAGTGTGTGGGGCAGAGGAGAGGGGAGATGAGTGTGTAGCGTATGTAGAGGCTGTAATGCGGCGTGTAGAATAAGAGAGTCGGATGTCGAGTCGACAGGAGAGCAGTGTGCAGTGGGAAGAGTAGATATATGTGTGTAGCGTAGTATGTGGAGGAGATAGTAGGGTGTAGAGTAGAGTGTTACGGTAGAGTGTGTAGAATAGAGGGTGTAGAGAGAATACAGTGGAGAGAGTAGAGAGTGCAGTGTAGACAGTGTAGAGAGAGTAGTGTAGAGTAGGGAGAGTACAGTAAAGAGAGTATATAGTGTAGAGAGTGTAGAGTAGCGAGCGGTGTGTGTGGTGCAGAGTGTGCAGAGTGGTGCGGATACTGTCGCGAGTACAGTAGAGCGAGTACAGTGCGCGTGGTCTCCGCCTCCGTCGCGGCGAATCCGCGCCCCGCGCTAAGGGGTCGCGGCGAATCCGTGCCCCGCGCTAAGGGGTCGCGGCGAATCCGCGCCCCGCGCTAAGGGGTCGCGGCGAATCCGTGCCCCGCGCGCAGCCCCCAAGAGGAGGCAGCGAGCCGCGGGTGCCGAGGGGGTCCCCTCCCTGGGTGGTGGTGGCCTCAGGTGGCACTGAGCCCAGGGCCGACTCACCCTCCCACAGGGGCCGTGTTATCCCATAGGCCATGTTTTTGTTGATTGTATGATAAAAAGTAATATTAAACCAAGATATATAATTAAATAACTTTTTTTATATCGCAAGGATTGGCACAGCGTTTTTTTTAAAGAGGGAGAGTCGTGACAATGTCAATCGGTTTTTGTTCATAACGTTAAATAAATTAACACCGGAGATGAACTTTTCGAGATTTGTTTCCTTGCAAAATTAGCAACAGCAGCAGCATTACCGCTGTTGCAGCTGCAGCTGGATGATTACTACTTCTGCCGCAACATTACTATTGCGGAAGCAGCATGATTACTACTGCAGCAGTGGTGTCCACTTGCTCTCTTCTCAGCTAGAGGCGCTGAGCTCCAGGCTGCCTCGAGCTCCAGGCTGCCTCCCTCGAGCTCCAGGTGGACTGTCTCGAGCTCCAGGCTGACTGCTTTGAGCTCCAGGTGGACTGTCTCGAGCTGCAGGCTGACTGCCTCGAGCTCCAGGCTGACTGACTGGAGCTCCAGGCTGACTGACTGGAGCTCCAGGCTGACTGACTGGAGCTGCAGGCTGACTGACTGGAGCTCCAGGCTGACTGACTGGAGCTCCAGGCTGACTGCCTCGAGCTCCAGGCTGACTGCTTTGAGCTCCAGGCTGACTGCTTTGAGCTCCAGGCTGACTGCCTCGAGCTCCAGGTGGACTGCCTCGAGCTCCAGGCTGACTGACTGGAGCTCCAGGCTGACTGACTGGAGCTCCAGGCTGACTGACTGGAGCTCCAGGCTGACTGCCTCGAGCTCCAGGCTGACTGCTTTGAGCTCCAGGCTGACTGCTTTGAGCTCCAGGCTGACTGCCTCGAGCTCCAGGCTGACTGACTCGAGCTCCAGGCTGACTGACTGGAGCTCCAGGCTGACTGACTGGAGCTCCAGGCTGACTGACTGGAGCTCCAGGCTGACTGCCTCGAGCTCCAGGCTGACTGCTTTGAGCTCCAGGCTGACTGCTTTGAGCTCCAGGCTGACTGCCTCGAGCTCCAGGTTGGACTGCCTCGAGCTCCAGGCTGACTGCCTGGAGCTTCAGGCTGACTGCCTGGAGCTTCAGGCTGACTGGAGCTCCAGGCTGACTGGAGCTCCAGGTGGACTGCTTTGTGAGTTTTCGTGCGGTGCGAGTGGCGTCCTCTGAAACGAAGCGAGGCTTAGCGGCGGCGGCAGCAGCAGCTGGTGCCACATAATGAAGGGGAGACGCACATGCCCGGGATTGTTTGTCGTATTCATGATTGTACAGGGAACCCTTCATATATTAGCGGGTTTCACGTACTCGCGACGAAATTTTTCTACGGTAAGTCCTCGCTTAACGCGTGTTCACGCTATAACTCGTTTCTGCTATAACGCGGGTTCACCATTAGGTGACACTTTTTGCACAACGCAAAGCAAAGACACAGACCCCCCCCCCCCCCGTGTAGTCTCCGTGCACTCTCCCCGCTCTCTCCTCTCCACAGGAGGTTCCTTCCAGTCTCGTGTCTCACAGGGGGAGAGCGAGAGACGAGAGAGCGCGTCTGCGTACGTCTTTGTCTCTCCCCGTGTCTCAGCCGCTCCGGTGTCACCAACAAAGTGAGGTGCCACCGGCTGCTGAAGAGTCACAGGGAAACTCCGAAGATCCCCCGTGTATCGTTCCCCGCGTATCGTCTAAACCAGGGGTGTCCAAACTTTTTGCAAAGAGGGCCAAATTTGATAAAGTGAAGATGCCCGGGGGCCAATAGTTCCTTCTGACATTTTATTCACCACAAAAGTTACGTGAAAATACACACTTATAAAAAAAATGCATTGTCACAATTACCGTTATTTTTCAAATGACAATGTAACCAAATATAAGCCACTCAGGCAGACGTGAACAACTCTAAAAACACAATTCTGCCTTTCATTTAGTCAGATAACATTGAACAAACTGTATAGAATACCTTACATTTCCATGAGTTAAATATCTTTGCCTCATGAACATTTTAAACAGGAGTTATGTGATGCCGCCGCCACGAAGCCGCTCGGCGGGCGTCCCATCCCCGACCTCGCCACCACCAAGTGAAGGAGCCGACCCCCGCGTCCCCCCACCTCACCTCACATGAACACACCCGCACGCATTTCCCCCCCCCTCCCCCCATAGAGCTCCGAGGGGAAGTCACCTGGCCGACCGGTTTTAATCCGAGAAACCCTTATCGGGATAACTTTCACGGTTTCCGGTGACCAGGGAATTGGACGACCTCCCCCGATGCTACTTCGCGGCGCTGCGACCGGCATTAAGATTGCAAGGTCGCAGCGAGGGGCCACTCGGCCACCGCGGGTGAAACGCACCCCACACACCCCACACACGCACGTATCGACGGGGCAGGCAGAGGGGCATAAGCATTGTGATGGAGAAGCATAATTATAATAAGCACCGCGCATAAGCATTGTTATGGAGGAGCATAATTAGAATAAACGCCGCAACTCGCAGTGCATCTGATTAGCATAGCAAAGACGCCCGGAACCGCCGCACGCGCCCTAACGGGCGCGCGCCCATTGTTAAAGAAAAACTGGGAGGGGACCACCACAGGCGGAGCAGCATCCCTTTGATGTAGGGACGATAAAAAGGGGGCGAAAACGGGAGATCTTTCTCTCTTGCTCCAGCATCAGGCCACGAAACGCTCTCCAGCCCAGCGACCCGGACGTCCGTGCGACGCATCGAGGTACGCTGCGAGCACGGGATCAACGGACCGTCGTGGGCACCTAACCGTGAGTAAGAAGGTGAATTAGGATCATAAGCAGATAAATCGGGAATAGGCATAAAGGTATCAGCGTAGGCCAGCCTCGTCGATTCATACTGACTCAACAACAAGTCCCAGGTAGCAGACAATAAATCATTAATAGCTGATCGTGGCCTCGTGTGATCTCGCTGAGAAGTGTGAACGCGTGTGGTGCTGTGTATACAGCGGCTCACCACGTGGGAGCGCTGCGCAGAGCGGCGCAAGAGTGGGTGTCGCGTGTGGAGCTGCGTGTGTGCGCGTATGTTCACTACGTAAAGGATACAGGTGCGCGATTGGTAACGTGGTTATCCGGCGTGGAGGCGAGTACTGCTCAGGGCTGTAGACGGGCATACGTATACTCGTAGCGAGTGAGTGCTGCGCGAAGCTGCGTGAGGGGGAGTATGGGGTTTGATTGATGATGCTGTGCGTACGTATGCTCGCAGCGTGGGAGCGTTGCGTGAGGCTGTAACAGTAGGGGCGTCGCGTTCGAATGCCGGCAAAACCCTAGCGGGTATTAGGGTGGTGCGGTAACGCAACCGGAATAGGGGATAGAGGCGGGGGCGACCCCGGGGGCCAACGGCCCCCACAGTTATAAGTAATGCAAAGTGGTCTGTTATCATTAAACTTTAAAACAAGTGAATTTTGCCCTTGTCTTTTACAAAATCTTTCAGAAAGCAATAGTTTGTGTCACATCTACAGGTACATAACATCAACAGTTATAACCAAATCTTATTCAAAAGTTTAATTAAACAAGTGCCATAAGTCCAAGTGTATTAGTGTGCTTTAGGCTTTTCACTGTTAATAGTGACCGATGTTACCGTTCAAAACACTCAATTTGAGATTGATCAAGGAACAGATAACTTGCTGACACTAATGAGAAGGGTGATACTGAGATCTAGATTTCAGTAAAGAGACCAGGTCTGGCTTGAGGGCAGTGGTTGAGATGCGTAAAATGTCACGCAAGTGGGAGTCACTCATCCTTGACCTCAATCGGTTCTTGTTTAAGTTCATGACTGAGAATGTTTGCTCACACAAATATGTGGAGCCGAATAAGCTCAGCATTTTCTTAGCGAATGACCGCATTTCTGGAAACTTGCTTTTGTCCAGCTGCCGGTAAAAGTCAACAAGAGAACACTGCTGGTGTTTTCCGCGGCACTCATCGTCACATTGCAGCTCAATGAGCTCTAGCTGCAGCTGTGGAGGAGCATCATCAGGGTCCACGGAGAAGGGAGAAGAGAAAAGCAATATGTCCTTTTCAATAACTGCAAAGTCCCGAAAGCTTTTGTTAAATTCCACAGAAAGAGATACGATAGCTGTTGCATAACTCTTCATTTGGGCACCGATGTCCTGTGGAAAACTGTCAATGACCTCTTTCAAAGCTAGGAAGTGTGCGGTGCAGGGCTCTGTTTGGGACAAGTGTCTTTGGAAAAGTTGCAGTTTGGTTCCAAAGGCCTTGATGTGAGCGTACAGCTGGCTCACCACTGCAACTTTTCCTTGAAGATTAACTTTCAGCGCATTCAGATGCTTCGTTATGTCAACCAAAAAAGCCA